TCTGTGAAGGGTGTCTAGTCGGGAAACAATTCAGGAAAAGCTTTCCAAAGGAGTCAGAGACAAGAGCTAAGAAGCCACTTGAGCTCATCCATACGATGTGTGTGGACCGATCAAGCCAAGCTCTCTCGGTAACAATAACTATTTTCTTCTCTTCATTGATGATTTTTCAAGAAAAACCTGGGTATATTTCTTGAAACAGAAGTCAGAAGTTTTTGAAGTCTTCAAGAAGTTCAAAGCAGCAGTGGAGAGAGAAAGCGGTAGAAAGATCAAAGCCATGAGATCCGATCGAGGTGGAGAATTTACTTCCAGGGAGTTTCAAGAGTTCTGTGAAGCAAATGGAATTCGTCGACCAATGACAGTTCCTAGATCCCCCCAGCAAAATGGTGTGGCAGAAAGAAAGAATAGAACAATCCTCGACATGGCACGAAGCATGCTCAAAAGCAAGAAACTACCCAAAGAATTTTGGGCGGAAGCAGTATCGTGTGCAGTCTACTTGTCAAATCGATCTCCAACAAGAAGTGTATGGGGAAAGACACCGCAAGAGGCATGGAGTGGAAGAAAGCCTGACATTTCCCACTTGAGAACCTTTGGAAGTATAGCCCATGTTCACGTACCAGACGAGAGAAGAACGAAGCTTGATGATAAAAGCGAGAGTTTTATCTTCATCGGCTATGATGCTAATTCGAAGGGCTACAAGTTGTACAATCCAGACAATAAGAAGTTTGTGATTAGTCGAGATGTGGTCTTCAACGAAGAAGGAGAATGGGATTTTAACTCTCATACAGATGACTTCAATTTCTTTCCTCAGTTTGAAGAAGATGAGCAGACAATGAGGGAGCAACTAGATGAATCTCAACAAGAGCTTGCAACTCCACCCACTTCACCAACATCAACCACTCAAGGAGACTCATCACCTTCATCATCGTCAAGTGGGAGTCAAAGTGAAAGAGTTGTGCAACGCACAAGAAGCCTTAGAGATCTCTATGAGGTAACTGAACGACAAGATAATCTTACATTATTTTGTTTGTTTGCCGATTGTGAACCAGTGAGCTTTCAAGAAGCGGTACAAGAAAAGAAATGGAGAGATGCGATGGACGAAGAAATCAAGGCTATCGAGAAGAATGACACATGGGAACTTACCTCACTTCCCAAGGGACATAAGGAGATAGGTGTCAAATGGGTGTACAAAACAAAGCAAAACGCCAAAGGAGAGATTGAAAGGCACAAGGCGAGGCTAGTTGCTAAAGGCTATAGTCAAAAGGCTGGAATTGACTATGATGAGGTATTTGCTCCTGTTGCTCGATTGGAGACTATCAGACTAATCATTTCTTTGGCAGCTCAAAACAAGTGGAAGATACAACAGATGAATGTAAAGTCCGCCTTCCTAAATGGAGTTCTTGAAGAGGAACTTTACATTCAACAACCATCAGGCTATGAAGTCAAAGGGCATGAAGACAAGGTGTTGAAGTTGAAGAAGGCTCTTTACGGGCTAAAACAAGCCCCAAGGGCATGGAATAGCCGAATCGACAAGTACTTCCAAGAGAATGGCTTCAACAAATGTCCCTACGAGCATGCTCTATATATCAAGATCAAAGATGAAGATATTTTGATCGTGTGCCTCTACGTGGACGATTTGATCTTCACTGGAAGCAACCCAAGCATGTTTAATGAATTCAAGGATGTGATGATGAAAGAATTCGAGCTGACAGACATGGGGCTCATGGCGTACTACCTTGGCATTGAAGTTAAGCAACAAAATGATGGAATTTTCATTTCACAGGAAAGCTATGCAAAGGAGATACTGAAGAAGTTCAAGATGGAGAACTGTAAGCCAATAAGCACACCGGCAGAATACGGGATCAAGATGACCAAACATGAAGAAGGCGAAAGTGTAGATCCAACATTCTTCAAAAGTTTGGTAGGAAGTCTACGCTATCTAACTTGCACGAGACCCGATATTCTTCACGCAGTTGGATTGGTTAGTCGCTACATGGAATCCCCAACAACCACCCATTTTAAAGCCGCAAAGAGAATTCTTCGCTATCTGAAAGGTACAATTGACTTTGGCTTGTTCTATTCAGTTTCTAATGATTACAAGCTTGTTGGATATAGCGACAGTGATTGGGGTGGAGACATAGATAATCGAAGGAGCACTACTGGATTCGTATTTTTCATGGGAGATATTGCATTCACATGGATGTCAAAGAAACAACCGATTGTCACATTATCCACTTGTGAAGCGGAATATGTTGCTGCTACCTCATGTGTTTGTCATGCAATTTGGCTTAGAAATCTATTGAAGGAGATTGGTTTGATACAAGAAGAGCCTACCAAGGTTTGTGTCGACAACAAGTCAGCCATTGCCTTAGCGAAGAATCCAGTATTTCATGATCGAAGTAAGCACATTGATATTCGCTACCACTATATAAGGGAGTGTGTTGCAAGAAAAGATGTGGAAGTTGAATATGTGAAGTCACAAGATCAAGTTGCTGATATTTTTACCAAGCCACTGACCAGCGAAGACTTCTTAAGATTAAGGAACCTACTAGGGGTCACGAGATCAAGTTTAAGGGAGGGTGTTGGATCATAAACTTGATCCATTATGGGAGCCTAAATCCAAACCCAAACTAAATTGATGTCATTACTTACATCATTTAATTAAAGATGTCATTGCTTACATCATTTAAGTAATGATGTCATTGCTTACATCAATTTAGTTAGGTGAGAGTTAGATATTTGTTGAATTTGTAATGGTTTAAATTAGTTTATTTGTGTGGTGTAGGATTGTTCTTGAGTAGTATAAATACCCCTCCCCATTTTAGTTTTAAGCATCAAGAAAAATTAAGAGCTTCTAAGTGAGTGAAGAAGCAAAGTCTTATAAGAGTGAGTTGTAGTTCTTGTTTTTGAGTGAGAGTACTCTTGTAATATTTGTTTGAGTTTCAATAAAAGTTGTTTGTGTGAGTGTTTTATTTCCAACAGATTCAGGGTACTCTTCATTCTGACTTAGTAATCAATATGCCGTATGTTGAGTTCTTTTCCATTCAGGGGAACCAAATTTCAGGAGAGATCCCTGTTTCAATATCCAATGCCTCGAATATGAATATTCTTCAACTTTCGAGTAACAAACTCGGTGGATATGTGCCGTCGTTAGAAAAGCTGAATAGACTATCTAGATTGCGGCTATTCGAAAACCATCTGGGGAATGGGAGAGAAGGTGATTTAGACTTTCTCTGCACTTTAGTCAATAGTACCAAACTAGAACATCTATACATAAGCGCCAATAATTTTGGAGGGGAACTTCCTAGATGCATTAGCAACTTTTCGAGAACCCTTTCTCATTTTGTAATTGATGCAAACATGATAAGTGGAAGAATCCCAAATGGGATTGTAAATCTCATCTATTTGGAGCTGCTATTTCTGTCAAACAATCAACTATCAGGTCCCATTCCCTTTGATATTGGGAGACTTCAGAAGCTACAAAGATTTTTCTCTGAGAATAATCTTCTCTCTGGTACTATTCCTCATTCGATTGGAAATATTTCAGTGTTAGCTGAACTTGATTTACATTCAAACAATCTTCAGGGAAGCATTCCTTATCATCTAAGTAAGTGCCAAAATTTAGTTGGGATAAGTCTTTCTTATAACAATCTTAGTGGACAAATCCCCCCTCAAGTACTTGTGCTCCCATCCATGTCCATTATATTAGACTTATCATCAAACTATTTGACTGGTGGCCTTCCTGTTGAAGTAGAAAAACTGAAAAGTCTAACTGAATTCCGTGTTTCTCAAAATAGATTATCCGGTTTGCTTCCGAGCAGCATTGGTAGTTGTGCAAGTCTGGGGTACTTGTTCCTGGATGGCAATTTGTTTGAAGGGCCCATTCCTTCATCTTTGAGTTCATTGAGAGCTCTTGTGGCCTTGGATGTATCTGACAATAAACTTTCAGGTGAAGTTCCAGAATTTTTTGTGCGATTTAAGTCGTTGAAGTATTTAAATCTTTCTTACAATGAATTCGAGGGAATGATACCAAGCGAAGGAGTCTTTAAGAATGCAAGTGCTACCTTTGTAGAGGGAAACAACAGGCTTTGTGGAGGCATTCCCGAGTTACATTTGTCAAGATGTAACTCAAAAACATCATCAAACACTTCTCTCAGAGTAAAAATTGCAATTATTGTCGTGACCCTGGCAGTGATTTCGGCTCTCACTTGTCTCCTCATCTTGTGGTTTAGAAAGAAGAAAGAGCAGCCACAACAACTTGTGCAGAAAATTCTCTTTTACAGCTATCATACCAATGCATCCTAAGGGCTACTGACGGATTCTCAACGCAAATATGCTTGGTTCTGGAAGCTTCGGTTCTGTATACAAAGGAATTCTTGAAGAGAGTGGAGCAGTTATTGCCGTAAAGGTGTTTGATCTTCTGAATCGTGGAGCTTCTAGGAGTTTCCTGGCTGAATGTGAAGCCTTGAAGAACATTCGACATCGGAATCTTGTCAAGGTACTAACAGCCATTTCAGGTGTCGTTACAAAGGCAATGATTTTAAAGCCTTGGTTTACGAGTTCATGGAAAATGGAAACTTGGAGGATTGGCTGCATCCATCCCCATGAATGGACCGGAGACAGCTAGAAACTTGAACTTTTCCAACGAGTAAGTGTGGCCATAGATATTGCCCATGCACTCGAATATCTGCACCATCGTTGTGAAACATCGATCATACATTGTGACCTCAAGCCTAGCAATATTCTACTCGATGCAGAAATGGTTGGCCATGTAGGTGACTTTGGCTTGGTGAAAATTGTTTCTGAAGACACGCTCAACTATTCTACTATTCAATCAAGCTCCCTTGGATTAAGAGGAACTATCGGTTATGCTCCACCTGGTATGTTCACTTTTTTAATTTATTCCATTATTTAAAAGAAAAAGATATTAAACTAAAAAGTAGGTTTCTCTATATTTTCTCTGCAATTATTTCTATATTTAATTTTTGATGATTTAATCGTAGAATATGGCACGGGAAGCGTGTTGTCAACAAAAGGTGATGTCTATAGCTATGGCATACTCTTGCTAGAGATGTTTACGGGGAAAAGGCCGACTGATGAAAGGTTTAAAGAAGGTTTAAGTATCCGCTACTTTGTTGAGGCAGCATTGCCCGAACGATTGATTGAGATCGTAGATCCCATTTTTCTTCAAGAGAGTGTAAGACAAGGAACACTCCCAAACATCACTCTCAATGAAAACAGCGAGGGAAATGACAAACATCTTCAGTGCCTGAATTTGATAATGGAAATAGGACTTACTTGTTCTGCTGAATCACCGAGTGAGCGGATGAACATGTGTGATGTTGTTACCAAGCTTTGTTCTATCAGAGACAAGTTTCTCCGTTCGACTCGATTACATCATGGGATTCAAACTTCAAAAGCTGTTCAATCAGCAGGTAATGTTGTCTTATTATCTGAACAAACATGAAACCATTTCATCATTCGAGGCAGATTTCGTATACTTTTGAGATAATCGTTGTCTTTAGATATATGAAGAAGTAAAAGAGATTTCCATGTCTGCAAGTTGCAGGTATCTAAGGTGCCGGATCGATGAACTTGAGAGGCATAGGTCATACAAGGTGTTGGCTTGTCTCTTTCGTTCACATTCTATATGGTATTATCAGGTCTCCTAAAAACACACTGTTTTGAGGAAAGAGAATAATTATGTAATATTTACTGTTTCCCACCAAGAATGTCAGTGTAATTTGTATTCATGTTTTGTTTCTCTCTTTGCATAATGAACTACTGGATTGTCGTCAGATCAGAATTCATGATACTGCAAACATGCTGTGTTAAGATATATATGATGTCCCAGACAAGTCTCTGCAGACAATCAGTTTTTGAAAGCATAAAATTATACCGAAACATATCATTTCTTGATAATAAGTTGGTGCAGTGTTGATACTTTAACATGGATTTTGCAATGTTGTCTTGTATAAATACAATTATATACAAGGTTGATATATATTAGACCGACCCAAACCAAACCACATACGCCTCTAATGTAAGCCTAAGGTGGGGCATTTGTTAAAAAGGTATATAAAATACAATTTCCATGCAATGTTTTGACACATATAAAGATTCAAAAACCTTTCTCCCATCAATAATTTGATTTCCTCCTAGCTCCAAGATTACCTTCCCAGCCCACTTCATCTTCTTGGCTTGTTCTTTTCCTTGTTTCTTCTATAATTCCAGTCTTTGTAAGTTCTTCCTATAACGAGTACACGCCTACAATGCCGAGCCCCTTGTCCCTTTCCGAGCAAACCCACTCGGATTCGTCACCTCGTCCCCGTCCAATCGTCGTACGTCATTGAGGGTAATCTCGATTCTCTTTTCTGTTTATTCTACATCGTTTTGGCTGGATTATTACGCTGATATGGTTTGATTGTGGTAAGTTGAAGCTTCTGGAGTGATCGGTCGTCGTCCCTGACCCTTTTGCCCGTCGCACACACCGCCACATGTCATCTTGGTGCGTGGGACTGCTTCACCGGTCGAATTATCTAGAAATTGAGTCAACTCGTACTGAGTTGACTCAAATCGAATCGAGTTAACTCGAACCAATTTGAGTCAACCTGAATCGATTTGGATCGTTGACTTTTACTAAACTATTGACTTTGACCCAGACTGTTGATTTTAACTTTAACCAAAAAGTCGAAATTTTCGAAAAATCATATTTTATGTTTTTTGACATCATGAGTCCGAATCTAAAGTATGTTTTTTCAAATTCTAACTCGAAAGTCTCCGAATCAAACGCTAAACCTCAGGCATGCAAATGTATTTAATTATTTTACTTAATTGCATTTAATATAAGGTTAAGTATTGGTTTATGGCGTTGTTTATTTAAGGTACTCTAGACTCTTCTGACCGCTCGTCAGCTCGACCCAACTCCTCTCGATCCGTCCGACCGCGTGAGCCCGTGATTTCTTGTATAGTCATGTGATCTATGTAAATGCTTAGATTTGATTATTTATTTCAATGGTAACCTGAATTCGTTATGGTTTAGGGTCAAGTACTTTTGTAGAACGTAACGATGTTGGTGTTTAGTAGACCTTCTAGACTGATATTTTTTAGGTGTGTTCCTTGTGTGCTATATAAATCTTTTATCTTTAATGAAATATGATGGGTTACCTACGTTGATTTATAAACGTTTTACTTGTTCGATATCATATTTTTCTAATTTACTGATTATGAATTATGTTTGTCCGATACATGTTCTATGGTTATTTTGTCGAAATTCAAGCAAGCAAATATCGAAATTCAAGATCGATCAAGCAAGACATAACCAATTAGGTGTAAATCAACCAAGTCATTTCAATCATCCATCAAATTTCAAAGAATTCAAGACTTAGTTCCTCATGGGTTCACTAATTTAATAGTAAAAAATTTAATATAATAATACACTATAATTGGGAGATCATTTGCGTTATTTACTCATAGTTATAAAAAGTTTGTAACTTCTTTTGCAAGTCTATATATATAACAATCACTATCTAGGGGTGTAAAAAGCTGACTCTCCCTATAAAACAAGCTAAAACTGACTTGAGTCAAAACTATTTTTGACTTGCGCTATGGAGATCCGAAACTGACTCGAGTCAGAACTAGTGTTGACCTAAACCCGAATTGGACCTGGAAATTGTAGATCTGAACCCATCCTGCACCCGACCTGAGAACGACCTGAACCCGAATTGAACCGAAAATATGATACACAAACCCGAACTGCATCTGACTGATATGAACCCGAACCCGAGATTGACCTGGTAAATAACTGATATTACCCTACCTGTTTTCAACATGATCTATTATGAACCTGACCTGTAATTGACTCAACCTGTAAATGATCTGACATATTGTTGAACTGATATGATATTTACCTGACTTATAAGTAATAAATTACAATTAATATAATTATGTTATTTTAAATTTATAATAAACTTATGATAATTAAATTAATATGATTACTTTTTGAAATTTAGTTTTTATATTAATTATAATTTGTATATTATAAATTTGGTTTTTATATTAATTCCAATTCTTTACATTATTTATAATTCTTATATTATAAATTTTATTTATAATCATTAAATTAAATTTAGTTATTATCTTATTCAACATGATTTTATTAGATTATATAAATTGAATTAAAATATTCATAAATCTAATTTGCTTTTAATGTGAAAATTGATTAATAATTTAAGTATAACTTATTTTAAAATTTTAAAATAAATATATATAAGATGAAATGATGAACTTATTAAAGATTTGAAACTTGAATAACATAACAAATACTAAAACAAAAAAATATAAATGAATATGTTAATTTTATCCCACTTGAATACACTAAAATTACAATAAAATTAACTAAACAAAATAAATTTATGTTAAAATAAAAGTCTAACTTTACTACCAGAAATATCATCATCGAGCCTTTATACCTAAATGTTGCCAACATGTTTAATTATGAGCCACTTTCTAGTTTTAAAAGCCAAAATGCCACCAACATAATTTAAAATGAGTAACTATTTAGATAAGAATTTACAAGGTACAAAAATTGGTTTAAGTCATACCAACAACAATAATTTACAAGGCACAGAGAGTAATAGACAGCAACAACTGGCAAGCATCACTGTATCAATTCAGCAAGCATCATTGCATCAATTCAGCAAGCATCCTGCATTCAGAAAGCATACAATCAGTGGTAAAGCCAAAGGGATTTCGATAGCCAACAGTGCCAAACATTTCCGACTTTACCAAACCCTTACAAATATCAAGTAGAATCAAGCAATATCAAACAGAAGCAAACAATATAAAACATAATCAAGCAATATCAAGCAGAATCAAGCACCAACTATTGCTTCTTGTAAGGCACTCTAAAAAATAGAATTATTAATGAACTATTTGAAACTTTTATTAAATAAACATAATAAATATAAAATATTAAGTTACCTTTGAAGGGAAGAAACTTGACGAAATCTCCAATTCCAATGGTTTCAGTAACCATTAGACACCCTAAAAAATTAAAAGAAAAATTAAAATAATTAATAAACAATTTGAAATATTAATGACATTAACATAAAAAAACAATTTGGCATACCTTTACATAGAAGACTCATTAAGCACAACAAGGTATTCTTCATCCTTATCTTCCGACTCAAAACCATACAACCAATTACGGGTTGTTACAAAAATCTCAACATTTTAAGGTAAGAGTTTAGGTCTTAATTTGTTCAAAATTCGACCCCCATACTAAAGGACGTTTCAGATGCAACTAGAGTAATTAGAATAGCCAATATATCTCTAGTCATGAGATAAAGTACTGGATATGAAATAATTTGATTTTTCCAATACTCTAAAATATCAAAGTCAGCTTCTCCAGTATGAGGGACAAGGGGTAAACTGATGTAAGAATCAACATCAGATCGTTCACTCCTTGAAGTAGCTAAATTGGCATCAAAATTCTGAAAAATAAAAGACAAAAATTAGTAAATGAAAACAATATATAAATAAGATAAAATTCAACTCAAAATTGTAATAACTAAACTGAAATAGATATGATTTTATAAATGTTCGAGGCCGATTGGAACTTGAGTCACTTCTGCCTAAAGATGTGTTACTTTGAACAGAAGAAGAAGAGGAAAAACCACAAGGTGCATTTTTTTTGAATAAAATACATATAACTCAATAAACTCATTATAAATGAGACTTACTCTCTGTTGAACCTCATCCTCAACATAAAAAATATTGTACAACTCTTTCAGAATTTGTAATTTATATCGAGGATCAAGTAAAACAGTAAAAAATAGAATCATTGAGTGATTAGACTAATATTTCTCATATAGTTCAAGCATGGGTCCTACCATTGCAGAAATACCTTCATATGGATCATTATGAGCATCACACAATAATTTTTCAATTGAAACAACGTTAGCCAAATACAAGTTAGAAGTGGGATACTTAGAACCAGAGAACAAAGTAGTAATTTCATAAAAAGGCTCAAGAAAATCACAGATTGTTTGAACAATTTCCCACTCATGATCAGTAATGAAATCCAACTCATTTTCCCTATTAATAAACAAGTTAATTGCTAATCTATCCTCAAGTGCCCTATGAATCATCAAGTAAGTAGAATTTCATCGAGTTGAAACATCTAATACTAACTTACCAAAGAAAGAAGAATCACAGTCTTTAACATCTAGTTCAAATGCACAAAGTCAGTAGTCAGAAGAATCAATAAACTTAACAATCTCACGCAGTTTAATAACAGAAGAATAAATTACATTCAAACCTTTTTGAACTATCGAGTTCAAAATGTGGGCAACACACCTTATATGGAAGTACTTACCATTGCAGGGAAGAGGAGAAATGACATTCAAATCATCTTTCAGTCTCCTGACCATTTTATTATTTGTAGAAACATTATCAAGTGTAATGGTAAATGTTTTTTTTTCAAGACCCCACTCACATATCATCTTTTTAATAAACTTAAAGATTGACTCACCATCATGAAGAGGAGGAAAATGATAAAAATTAAGTATTTTAGACTGAAGTTTCCAGTTATTATCAACATAATGAGCAGTAAGAGCAAAATAAGAACGTGAAGTGCAGACAGACCAACCATCACATGTAAAACAAACACGACTTGAAATAGTATGCATTGAATCAAGTCGCAATTTTTTATGATTTTCATGCTCCAACATGCAATACTTAGTAACAATATACCTAGATATATCCTCAACAGAAGAATTAAGGTAATGATGCAAATCCCTAAGTTTTTCATGCTCAACAATACTATATGCATAACCATGACACAAAATAGCCACAGTAAACAATTCACAATATTTGTTTTGATCAAAAGAACTTACCAAAGCAGATTTTCAACAAGATATTCCTTATACGATTGGCATTTCTCAGTATGCCTTCTAGGGTTAGATGTACCAATATAAGAATAAGCTTTATACCTTTTATTTTTGCAATACTTACACTCGGCATAAACAGAACCATCGACAGATTTGATAAAGGTGTAATGCTCCCAAATAGGAGAAGTTCTTTTCCCGAACTCGGCTGAACATTTAGCCTTCCTCTTAGATGATTTATTGATATCAACTGCTTCTGACAGTAGATCATTTACATCACCTTGTAAAAAAACCAGAGTTAGTATACAAAATTAATTTTTTAAATATATATATATATATATATATATATATATATATATATATATATATATATATATATATATATATATAAAGCATGTACAAAAAAGGAATGGACAGTTTACCTCTTTCAGAATGTTCTTCATTTGATCTGTTGGGTTTTCTCCTATAAAAAAAAATAAAGAATATATTAATTTGAATATTAAAATAAAAAAAAAGAATGAAAAATACATGGATAATTCAACTCGTAAGACAAACTATCCATGAAACCGTAGAAAAAATAAAGGTTTCAGATAGTTTAGATTCAGATTTGGATTTGGGTTCGGATTTGGATTCAAATTCGGGTTTAGATTGGGTTCGGGTTTGGATTCGGGTTCGGGTTCAGGTTTTGGGTTTGGGTTTGGTATCAGGTTCGGGTTCAGGTTTGGGTTTGGTTTTAGGTTCAAGTTCGAGTTTGGGTTTAGGTTTGGTTTCAGGCTTAGGTTTGGGTTTGAGTTTGGGTTTTGGTTCGAGTTAAGGTTAAGGTTAGAGAAGATGAACAGTGGTGGGTTTGATCTAAACAAACAGTTTGAGTTTCGATTTTTGGTGTTTGTAGGGATCAAATAAGGGTTTTGGGATGAACATAGATAAATTGATGTTTGGGTTTGGTGTTTAATCGAAAAAAATAAGTTGGTTTTAAGTTTTGGGTGTTTGTAAGGGTTTGGGGAAAAACACAGATGAACAAGGGTTTAACTTTAGGGTGTTTGATCATAAAAATAGGAATGAGTTTAGGTTTTGGTGTTTGTGAATATCAAATAATGGTTTGGGGAAGAACTGGGATGAACACGGATGAACAATGGTTGAATTTTCTGGTGTTTGATTGAAAAAACACGAAATGGTTTGGGTTTTGGTGTTTGTGAAGATCAAATGAGGGTTTTTGAGATGAACAAGGGTTGAAATTTTGGGTGTTTGATAAAAAAAATAAAATGGTTTGGGTTTTGGTGTTTGTGAATATCAAATGAGGGTTTTTGGGATAAACACAGATGAAAAAAATATGAACATGGATGAATTTCTAGAGAGAAGTCAGAGAATTTTGATAGAATCGGAGAGTTAAATAGAGCAAAATAACAAAATGAGAAAAAAAGAAAGGAAAATGACTGAAAAATGATTTTTTTGCCTTTTATACGGGTTCGGTTGGGTTTTGACCCGCGTGTTTTTTAACTTTATTTGGTATTGTAACGTTGTCTCCTAGTTTTAAATTTTTTTCAATTTAGTCCAAATTTAATGATGCAATATATTAATTTAAGCTTCATATTTAAAATTTGTTCAATTTAGTCCAAATTTAATGTTACAATTTATTAATTTAAGCTTCATATTTAAAATTTGTTCAATTTGATCCTTATATATTTTCCATTTCTTTCAATTAATATATATGTTTATATTTATAAATTAATATACAAGTTATATATACTAATGAACTATATAATATATAGTTTATATATACTATATAATTTATATATACCACCATATAGTTTATATATACTAGATAGTTTATATATACTAATGAACTATATAATATATAGTTTATATATACCATATACTTTATATATATAGTTTTTATATATAGCTCATATGTAAACTATATAGTATATAATAACTATATAGGTAGTATATACTATATAAATATTTTATTAATTAATGTATTCAACTATATAGTATTCATACATATAATATATACTTTGAATTTTTATAGTATAAATTATATAAGTATAAATTATATTATATAATATATAAATATCAACTATAGTATATAATATATAAATATCAACTATAGTATATAGTTTATATATAAAATATAGTTTATATAGTTTTTATATATAGTTCATATGTAAACTATACTATATAGTATATATAATTTATATATATAATATATAATATATAAATATCAATAGTATATAAATATAAACTATAGTTTATAGATATAGTATATACTATATAAATAGTTTATATAGTTCACTAATAAACTATATATATAATTCATATGTAAACTATATAGTTTATATATAATAATGTAGACTATATATATTATATAGTATATAAATATCAACTATAGTATATAGTTTATATATAAATTATAATTTATATAATTTTTATATATATATAGTTTTTATATATAGTTCATATGTAAACTATATAGTATATATAGTTTATATATGTACTATATACTATAAAAATAATTTATATAGTTCGTTAATAAACTATATATATAGTTCATACGTAAACTATATAGTTTATATATATAGTTCATATGTAAACTACTAAACTATATATATTATATAGTTAGTTTATATATAGAGTTTATATAGTTTATACATATAGTTCATATGTAAACTATATAATATATATAATTTACATATAGTATAAGTTAGTATATATTGTTTATATATAGTTTAAATACTATTATCTATAAACTATATAGTTTATATATAATTCCATAAATTAATCCTAAATCATAAACCCTAAACCTTAAACCCTAACCCCTAAACCATTTATACTATATATATAAACTATATAATTTATGTTAATAAACTACATAATTTATACATAGTATATATTATTTATAATTATATGTAATATATAAATATAAATTGTATAGTTTATATATAATTCATTTATAATTTATATATAAACAATATAATTTATATTAATAAATTATGTAGTTTATATATAGTTCAATAGTTCATATATAAATTATATAATTTATCCATGGTCTATATAGTTTATACATAATATATATATATATATAGTATATAATAATATAAATATAAACTATATAGTTTATATATATATATATATATAATATATATATATATATATATATATACTTTATATATAAACTATATAGTTTATAATATATATATATATATATATATATTATAGTTGTTTCAATTTTTTCTCAACTTTTGAAATGAATGCGATTAGTCCATTTTACATATTTCTTCACATTTTACAATCATTTGATTTGATCCCTTGTGTTGTTTAATTTATTTAAATTTTATTTGTAATTTCATATTTGTTCAATTTAGTCCTTAAAATTATATTTGCATTTAAAATTGGCCCATACTTATTACTTATTTATATTTTTTAATTGCCTCATAACTTTTTTTCATAAAATTGATCCATGATTATTTATTTTCTTATTAATTTACTCTAAATCATATACAATTACAAATTGCAATTCAACGTTCGCGAAAGATGAAAATAATTAATCCAAAAATAAAAATTAACTCGATTTAAACTCAATCTGTATTTGCTAGAGATCGACCTGAATTTTATCTGCCAATGATGTGACCCGATCTGAACGAGATCCGCCTGAAGTTCATCCAAACCTGAATTAACCTGGTCTTTAACTGATCCAAACCTGAACTGTTTTGACATGAACTGACATCGATCCAAACTGAAAGTAACCCGACCTGAATCCGAACTGTACCTAGTGTCAAATCAACCTGAAAATAATCCGACCTGATATGACTTAGACCCGACCTGATCCAAGTCGAAACATCAAATTTACCTGATTTGACATGTATTCGATTTTACCCGACCTGATAAGATTTGACTGAAACCTAAACGATTACATGATTTTACATCCTACCACTATCAAATAACAATGTCACAATTAATTGACGACCATTCAGAAGAGCTTCGTGCGCTGCTTTCCAACCAAATAATCGTATTTTCGGAAAAATACTAGTAAAAGAGGAAAAGCCAAAGAGAAGATACTTTGAAAGTTGAGTGATTTTAGTATTAAAATAGGAATGATATAATTTATCCATTAAAATTACAGTGTCGCTCAAAATATAGCAACGAGATAGTAAAATAAAACAAAAAAATTAAACATTAAATGTAATTTTGAAAAAAAAAATGAAAATGTAAATATTAAAACAAACCAAAACTAGGGATGTGTATGAGTCGAGTTTGGGTCGGGTTACCTGACCCGACTTGAAAATTATACATCCTCCACCTGACCCGAAGCCTACCCAAAAATAATATACCTTCCACCTGACTCGTATTTTTGAAATAAAACCTAAACCCAACCCAAAATAATATATTTATATTATTATTTTAATAAAAAAATAGAAAATTAATTAAAAATATAATAGAGGGTCTTATTACAATCATCCCTAAATATAAAAGTTAAAATTATATTTTTGAGTTGAGTCAGAACGAACATTTTTTATCCCAAAACTAAATCGAACCTGACCTGAACATAATTTCTAAAAAAATATGACCCAATCCAAACTCGATTATTTTAAAAAAGAATTTGACCTTATCAAATTAAATCAAATAATCAAATTCATATCTCATATTCATATCAAACTAAAGTTAATAATTTAGATACTAACTACTTAATTTACTCTATAGTAAATTCTTCTTATCCACATCCCTTGGTTGGAAAGTTCTACCTCTTTAACTTCTCTCGACAACTGTGCTATAAGCTTATCTCCTATTCTGCCCAGAAAAAATAACTTATCCAGTGAGCAGATGAAGTCACTGCCATTTTCAGCAGGAGCTTACATCCCCAAGATCCCCAACCCCAAAACCCCAATCAAAAACGCTCTAAACCCAGTAATTAGATGCTCAAAAACCAACCCAAAATTGGGTTCCATACACTTTGTCGAGCAACAAAATGAGAATTCGAACAAGGTGTTGTTGAAGAGAAGAGAAGGAATCGGTCTCGGTTTATGCATTGGGATTGCTGATGTTTTGTTGCAGTTGCTGCCACAACCCGGTCCTAGTGTTGCGGCCATTGAAGCAGCTTGTGAATTGACTGTTAGCCCTTCGGGCTTGGCCTTCTGTGATAAAGTCGTGGGGAAAGGCCCTGAGGCTGTCAAAGGGCAGCTCATAAAGGTTAGTTTTCCAATAAATTTCAGCAAACTTTAGCTGTGAATGAGTATGAAAGTGTGAAAGCATGATTGTTCAAATCTATATGTGTGTATGTGAATGAAACAGGCACATTATGTAGGGAGATTGGAGAATGGGAAAGTGTTTGATAGCAGCTATAACCGTGGGAAGCCTCTTACATTCCGAGTCGGTGTCGGAGAGGTACTTCGAATTCTTCTCTTGTTTTACCCTTTTTCTTTAATTTGAAGATCCTAGTAGCTTTATGTCGAAATCAGTTATGAGCTAAATGAGATTGTTTAAGTACTAAAATATAAGAGTAGTTATGAGGATAGATTCTTCCCGGATGGCGACAAAGTGTGCTGCAGTTTTCGTTCGGAATGTCCCGACAAGGATGCAATGGTAGGGTCTCCGGACTATATTCGAATCTTATGTTGAAGTTATCGAATTGATTATACCTTGAAAGAAGAACAAAGATTTGGTTTTGTGAGTTTTCATTGTGTAGCTGATATGCGAAGAGCCATACAATGATTGTATGTAGCATTGGTTTTGGAGTGGAGGATAAGGTGTTTGACAGTGATGAAGTAAAGGTTTCCCGATCTGATGTCGTGGTGAAGAGTCTGATAAGAATCCATGGAGTTGTTGAGAATAGTTCAGGTTCGGAGGGATAAACTTTTAAGAACATCCAAACCCTGAAGCGGATATGTTACTTGTACAAGAATAGAAAGTTGAAGATGTCTCGGATCAGTTCATTCTGAGAGTATGGCCTTATGGCCGAACAATGATTTTCAATTTCTGTTTACTGCGCCTCAAGGAATATCTGCTTATTGATAAGGGCTGCCTATTGAGTCCATGATGTAATAATTCGCTTGAGACCACTGATCATCTATTGATGAGACTAAGGATTCGCTGATGCTCTCAATAAAGCCGAAACTGACACGTTCAATCGGTTTGTTGCATGGACTTAGACTTGATAGCGGAGGTGTGCTTCTGATACATGTCGGTATTGGTTGTTGCTCTTGCCCTGGTTATTGCAGCGAATGACAAGGATGTGAAATGCATTGCTTTTTATATGTTTTGTTCGGGATTTTGCCGGTTTGTTTCTTAGGGAATTAGTGTTCTGTTTGATATTCAGTTTGATGCTTATGAGATTGTACTCGATTGTCATTTGCTCGTATTATGTTCCGGTATCACCTTTCTAATTCGAATAAATTATTTGCCAAGCAAAGAAAGAAAACGATATTTAACGGGAGTTGCCGCAGGTGATCAAAGGCTGGGACCAGGGTATTTTAGGTGGTGATGGAGTTCCTCCCATGCTTGCTGGTAAGAGATAGAAATCTTAATCTTAATTCACCATACTTTCTTAATAGTAATTTAGTTTTTTTCAACATAATTTAGGGGGGAAACGATCGTTACGGCTTCCTCCAGAGCTCGGATATGGTATGAGAGGTGCCGGTTGCAAAGGAGGTAAGCAACTAAAGAGAGCTTTCTGCACTTCTTATTTCGACACAAAAGAGTCTGCATCCTGAGACGTTAGGATTCGAATCTTCAAATAATAACTATATTAATCAACCTAGTTTTATTTGTCGAGTTATATCGGTTAAGAAGTATAAATTACCTCTATTCTCTTGAAAGAGTACCCTTTTATTATCGACCCGAGTTTGATCTTAAGATCAGTCAGAATGTGGATTAGATTCAAACAAAACTCGGCATCGGACGCCATATATATAATGGATGTGTTTTGCAGGTTCATGTATTATACCCCCAGATTCAGTTCTCCTATTTGATGTGGAATTCATTGGCAAAGCATGAAAAAAAGCATGGAAGCATCTTCTTTGTGAAGAATGGGGATTTTTACAGGAAACTACACTTGATTCACTTTGTTTTAAGTTTTTTATTTTCGAAAGAGATCAATCGAATATATTGTTATACCATGAAAAAACTCCTATCCCTATTACCCAATAGTATCATATATATTGTCTTAAAGCTTGCGTGTAGGTTTTCTTAGCCTCACCTCAAAAGTAGGGCATTAGTGTCCTTTGAAGTTTTTAAATCACCATATTCATGTTGGATCCTTAGTCGAACTCTCTTCTAATTTGAAGGGCAAGAACAAAACCTGACCATATTGGCTTGAATATGATGATTGGAAAGCCAAAAATATCCAACTTGTTTGCAATGTATCCCCCAAATGCTACATAATTCAATGAACTCGTCAATTCTTCATTAAATTTTAAATATAATGTCTAGATTATTCAGATTTCTCTTCGCAATAAATCAAACGATATTAAGCATTTAAGCAAACTTGATCCTACACCCTCTTGTATTCGCACCGAAAATAATACTAATTGAGTTATATTGAATGGATAGGGATGGGCATGGGACTCGAACCCGACAGGTTTCGACCCGATCGGGTTGGGTTTTTTTAATAAAAATTTTGGTTTCGGGTTCAAGTTTAGGGTGAAAAATATCCGACCCAAAAAATATATAATTATACCCTGTATATTTAGGAATAATTAATAATACATTCTATATTTTTTTCTTCAATTAAGTCATTGTTTTTATTGAATAAAAATATTTTTTTATTTTGGGTCGGATCAGGTTTTTAAGTTATATAATGGGTCGGATTCGGGTTGGGTGAATTCTTGTTTTGGTTGGGTCGATTGGATCTTGGGTGGAAGATTCCTTGTTCTCGGGTCGAGTCGGGTGGACCAAAAATCCGACCCAACCCGACCCATGTCCATCCCTATGAAAGGACAAAACTTATTATGAGATAAATCTTCTTTAAGGAAAGATAAACTACCCCATCGAAGGAAATATGGACAACTAAGTTCAAGCCACTTATATTCAAAAACAAAATTAAATTAAAACCCTTAGTAACAGTGGTGGATATAAAAATTAAAAAATAGATATTTAAAATTTTAATATTTTATTCTAAAATAATAGATATATAAATTTTCTTTTTTTTATTCCCATTAACGAATTAAATTAAATTTGATACTTTTATCGAAATAATGAATGTATAATGGCTCCCTCTGAAGTCACATCATCCATCCCATCTTAGGAGAGTAGCTATTATTTTTCTTATGTTTCTATCGATCATCTCCTAAACTAAGCCAGAAAAAAAAAACTCGACTCAAACCGAAACTAATACGAGAATGCAACCAGAACAATCGAATTCCACCCGATAGTCCATGTAAAGATGCTAAGAAGAAAGTTTGTCGGCATCTTCCATCGGCTTTTCAAGCTGGATTTATTCGTTTTCAATGGAAGAAATCAAGAAAATTATCTTCAATGAAATTAGCTTTTCAATACTGATCTTCATCACTTTGAATAAGCTATTTCAGAACACTTTATGGCACGGCTGGAATAGCCCAGTTGGCTAGAGCGTCAGGCTGTTAACCACAAGGTTGGGAGGTTCAAGCCCTCCTTCTAGCGTGCAATTATATTAAAGTCACTTGCCTTTTATTTAAAGGAAAATATCTTTCATTAGTGTTTATTATTAATAAATTTAATTATATCACATGTCCCTAAATTATGACTCTCTTTTTAAATTGGTCCCTAAACTTTTGAATATTCAAGTTTCATCACAACATCCAAATATATGATTAGTTTCAATCATAGTTTAACTCAATTTTTTTCAAACATATAATAATATAACTTGGTCAGGACGATTTCACTAACAAGGGACATGACTAGTATATATGTAATATGTATAGTTTGATATTATCATAACCATTTTTTAATTTATTTAAAAACATATATAATATATAAATTAAAAATAATTATGACTTTAATTGGAAAATTTTGGATTTCTCGTTTGATTCAAAATTCGGAGTCACCATCGACTTTTGGGTTGGGTAGGTCGAATACCTAAAAACACGTCTTTTAAAACAATTTAAAAGAAATCGTTTTAAGCCAAAAAAAAATTGGTCTGCATTTACCAAAGACTTATTTGAAGGAGTTCGGGAGTCATTTATACACAGAGAAGGGTGAGCACCCCCACAACGCCCTAAATTGGTACCATCGATTATTTGTTGTCTAAAACAATGAAATTTTACATGTTTGAGCTCAAGATTTAAGTTACGATCCCTTCTTTTTTTATGAATTTTGAAAAGAGTTAATTTAATTTTTTTTGAAAATATTCGACTCGATAAAATTGCTTAATTCACTCAATATTATTTTAAACAACATTGCCTTTGAATTTTCAAAAGGATGAGAAAGTAAATGCATGATATATGAATGTGATAATAATAAACAACACATACAAAGAACAAAGAAAATATCAAACACAAGGAATAAAAAAAAATAAAGATAACGTAAAATAACTAAACGATAAATAAAGGGGACACATAAAAAGAAAATTGAATATTTATAACTATGTGAAAACAATGTATATAATTTAAAATATTAAGAATATAAATAACATACTAATTAGCAAAGAGTTATTTAAAATATATTTGATTAACCTATTAATTAGCAACTAATCATATCAGAGTAGTTTTATTCAAATAATATGGTATTATCCGATTACTAAGGGTCAGTTTGGTATAACTTTTAAAAAGTATGGTGAAAGGTATTTTTAAAAGTAGTTTTTAAAAGTATTTTTGTTTGTTTAGTTTAAAATTTTGAGTGTTTGGGATTACGATTAAAAAGTGTTTTTAAGTAGGTAAATAATCATTTTTAGACATTGTAAATGAATGGAGCCTACGTGATATAAGGGTAAAAACATAAATATGCTTTCAAACGGAATTTAAAAATGAAAAAGTTGGATTTTTGGTTGTTTGAACGCAATTTGTTAATGTAGGGAGGTTGGTTGTCTCGTTTTGTAGTCGCTGATTTAGTGTACTCTTTTTCTTCATATATGTTTAAGGAGGTTTTTAACGAGAGTCACTGTGCGGAGGTTGGTTATCTCGTTTTGTTGTCGCTGATTTAACATGATTCTTCCATGGTTGTTTCTTTTTTTAAAAAAATCAAATTTGATTCAAGTCGAGTTTTTTGAAGGATGAGATCAACTCGGGTTTGATTTTAAGGTGAAAAATAACTAATTTGACCCGACTTGAGTTATAATATAATTATACCTTATATATTTAAGGATAATAACAATAATACACTCTCTATATTGTGTTTAATTATATCTCTAAAAAAAAATGGCTGTCCCTTTTTTCCCATATATATGGGGTAAGGGGGAGGTAAGATAGTATGCTACCCCCAACACCAGGTTGAAAGCAGCTTCCGTAAGAGACCTCCAAATTATGAAATGCCCTCTGTGGGACTCAATCCCACGACCTCAAGGTTAAGAACCTTGTGCTTTACCAACTGAGCTGGATGGTCATTTCTGTTTAATTATATCTCTATTTTACTTAATAAATGTATGTGTGTGTTTGATCAGATTTGATGGTTTTACCTTAAAAATCAAATCGGATTTCAAATCAAGTATAGCCTCATAAATCTGAGTCAAGTTGGATGACGGGTGAAAGAATGTAATACTTAGGTTGGGTTTAAGTAGACCCTTTTAATCTAGTTATCGACCTAACCCATGTCCGTCTCTAAAGACGATTCTCTTAGTTTAGTTATCTCTAATCATAGCGTTAGAAATTAAACTTAATTTTCACTTTAAAATATATCGAACCTCTCATCCTATAAGATCAATGATAATTGATGATATGATCTATACATATTTTCATTAAGCTTACTTTTTATTCAGTTATAAGACTACTAGTTTTCAAAGTAATTTAATCAAAAGAAACTTCAATTTATTAATACTATTATTTTTAAAAGACTATATATATTTGTTGTTGATAATATTTAAAATTGAAAGTTTTCGGTTGACACCTATTTCTTTTTCTTAAATTGTAGGTTCGATATCTTTCTAGAGCAAAATTCCCCTTTCTCTTTCCTTTCCCCGGGATAGAAATTATTTAAAAAAATAATATTTATTAAGTTTTTATTCAACTTTTTCTTGCTAACGCTTCTCTTATCCCTAAAGGGACTTTGATTTTGAAAGGAAATGGATGCCTAAAGACAGGAAGCACAATGACATAAGAAAAACCCTAGTTGCTGTTAACTTTTTGGCTGGTCGTGAGTTGTCTGTCGGTCCGAATCTCAATCTTGGTGGGCTTAATTGTCTTCTAGTTCGTGTTCCCACACGGCAGTCGCCAGGTGCTCCGGGCGACATCCTTGTTAGATGGGGTAGGTCGCCATGCACGCCCAGCGACCTAGGTAGGTCGCCATGCAATCCATGCAGCCCTGTTAGATGATATTAGTATTTTCGGTTTTCTAGGGTTGAGTGGGTAGAAAACTTGAGGAGGGACGACGGTTTATATAGAGAGAAAGTGGTGTGATTATTTTGACGTGTGAATTTATGGAAAGTGATAAGGAAACTAAGGTTGGGTCATTTTGAATTAATAACTTTGATCCTAAAACTTTGGTGACTTGACCGTTTAATCCCTGTTTTTAAACTAAATCACAAGGTTTTGAAGAAGAAACAATGAAAAAGAAGGAAGAAGCGTAACCAGTCTTGCATGGGGCTAGATATTCCCCCGATTTTCTATTGCACCTCATAAACGGTAAGCCTCAACGTGTAGGTCGCTGGGCGTGCATGGCGACCTACCCCATCTAACAGGAACATCGCCCGGAGCACCTGGCGACTTATATGGGGACTGTAGAGATCACCTCATCTGAGTAATTAATCTGGCGAGGGCACTATCTTGTGAAAAAAAAAATTCAACGCATTATCTCGTTGATTTTGCCGTTCCCACACGCTTAAAAGAAGGTTTTTTTTTTACAAATATTTACAAACTACTAAATCCCTCTTTATAGTATTGTTTTTTTGACTGACAAGTTAGATGTGCTACTCATTGAGTCAACTTAACTCAGTCTATCTTTGTCAGTAGTCGATCACAACCCTCCAAATAGGATCCGAACAATGTGAACTTTGACTAAGGGTTATTTTAAAATAACCCTCCAAATAGGATCCAAATAATAAAATTGATGTGGCCGATAAAGTTACTTTAGAACATGAAAATAGCAACGACGTTGGTATGTTATTAAGGGTTATTTTAAAAGTTTCTACAAAATGATTAAGGTTGAGTTTAGTAAGATCACGATGTTCAAATTAATATATATATATAGTGGAAAGTGTATACTTTACTGAAAAACACAACAAAGCCTCTTTCGATACGTGCAGAGTGTTTAAACAGTGGCAGCTTTTGCGCATGTGCCTCTTTCTCTCTCTGCACAAAAAACCAGACATGAACCCTAAAATCAAAGCACAACTCCTATAAAATAATCCAACAAACCAAGTAGAAAAAAAAATGTTAATGTATTCTGGGTTCATCTGTTTCTTCCTGTATATATATATGTAACACACGAGCTACTGTGTTTTCAGTTCATATTCAGAACTGCAGAAAAAAGAAACAGAGAGATTTTAGGGTTTGGAAAATGGAAGAAGGGTTGTCGGGTTTCTGCATTAAAGGGAGTGTTCGTGGCAGTGGGAACAACAACAACAACGGAGGCGGTGGAACAAAGTGTGGGAGATGGAACCCTACGACTGAACAGGTTAAGGTTTTAACCGAGCTGTTCCGGTCGGGACTTCGAACACCCAGCACCGATCAAATCCAGAAGATTTCGACTCAGCTCAGCTTTTATGGGAAGATCGAGAGCAAGAACGTGTTTTATTGGTTCCAGAATCATAAGGCTAGAGAAAGACAAAAGCGTCGAAAGGTCTCCGTTGATGAAAACGACAACATCAACAACATCAACACCAAGATCTCCTCTTCGAAACGTAAGTTCAGGGTTTAGGGTTTTTGGGTATCTGCCTATATAAACTTCCATTAAATTTGATGTTTTCTTGTTTGATTCTTGTAGGGTTTTTTGAGGTTAAGGAATACCAGTCCGATCAAAGGGTTATTGAAACCCTACAACTGTTCCCATTAAATTCCTTTTACGAAAACGAGCAGGAGAAGCTGAGATTCCATGCAAATGAACGTAGGGAAACTTCATTTTATACAATCAATAACCAAGAAATGGATTATCCACCACTGGATCTTCGTTTAAGTTCCCTGTATGATTTAGCCATGATTAGGGATGGACGGAGGGTGATAGTCGGAGGCAATTGCTCCCTAAAATTTTAAATTATCATATATTTTAGATATTTTCTTTGTATTTTCTTTAACAATATATTTTGGTCCCTAGAATTTTATAACTTCATCTCCTCCTAAAATTTTAAAAGTTCGCCTCTCTAATATAAATTCCTACACACACACCTAGCCAAGATGAAACTAGGGTATCGTAGTTGAAAATTTCACCTTGTAATGGTAATTTATCTTCTTTTTTTCATGAAAAAAACTTTGTTAAATATTGGGAATTATATCTATGCTTAGACATTCCTCCTCTATATGCTCATAAAAAGATTTTAGTTTTCTTACTCTCCATGTTTTACAATGTTTGATTTGGTTTCCAATGAAATTAATTGCTTGGAAATTGAAATTCGCTTCATCTCGTATAAAATGTGTCTTCTTCCTTGAAATCCATAAAAAAAATGCAGGCTGTGAGAATAGATTCTGCCTTGGTTCTGCTTCCAATCTTTGAATTTCATGTGTGTGAACATAAATAAACACATGGATTGTCCTTGATGTTCTAATAGTTTACTTCATTATCTTTATAAATAAGATTATGATTGTGAAACTATCAAATGTGTTTTCATTCAACATATATACAGGGACGGACACATAAGTTTATGTTAGGGGACAAACTTCTAAAATTTTTGAAATATAGAATTTATAAAACTCAGAGAGAAAACAAATTTTCATTAGAAAATACATAAAAAATCTAAAATATATAGTTATTTTAAAGTTCCGGGGGCAACTGCCCCCACCCACTGCATAAATACAACGTATAAAATTGAGGTATGATTTGGTCAATTTCAGTCAATATTAATCTATACTGATCTTCATCATACGATATTTTAATATTTTAAATTAGTTTTTAGTTTATTATCTTAATTGTTTTATTTTTTGAATTAAATTTAAAAATAAAATATAATCATTTAATTAAGTTATTGTATATAATTAATATTTTTAAGATTTATATTTGTTTATATATTTTAAGTATGGAACTGAAGTAAATTTATATCATATATAGTATTTAAAAATGACAATAAATATCAAAAGATACACCCAAATATGATTATATATATGTATGTATTGTTCAATCTATCGAGTGGACTCAATCACTCAATGATAAAAGAAAATGTTGTCCTCTCCAAAAGATTCGAGTTTGAGCAGTTGTGTCTACAAGATATGTATCCGTTGTCAATAGACTAAGATTATAAACATATACTAATATTATGATCATCTCAAATTATTAAAATTGACGTGTACCCGTTGGTAATTTTAAAAAAATAGCTATTAATCCTATTTTTATTAAAATAAAATATTAGTTATACAATATAATATTTTTAGTGTTATAGACCATTTGATAAGTGAAAATAGACAACATAAATTAATAGTATAGAAAATGAACAAATATTCACTAAAGAAAAAATTAATTAATCTCAGTTGTCTATTTTCACTCCTCTAACAATCTTAAATATATGCAAACTAAAATGGTTTTTGTATTATATAAATAAATCCTAAGTCTATATGAATCATTTAGTAATTTTAATGTGACAAAAAACATCAGAGTTCCCTATACTTTTGGGGGGAAACTAATGTGACCCTCGTATTATTTTTCTCTCATTGTGGCCCTCCAACTCAGAAAATAAATACAATGTGGCCCTCCAACTCAGAAAATAAATCCAATGTGGCCCTTTGACCAACGATTTTCATCGTTTGACCATTATGGTGCTGACGTGGTGGTCCATGGTATTGACATGGCAGTCTATCTATCATATTTGAGTTTCCAATTTATCTCATTTGTCATGTTATATTTGTCACTTTATCAACCACCATAGTTTGTCATGTCAGTAGATCATCACATCAGAACTGTGAACTGCTACGTCAACACCGTAACGATCAACGATGAAAAATATTTGTTGAAGGTCACAATAGGCTTATTTTTTTTGAGTTAGAAGACCATATTGAGAGAAAAATAATACAAGATCTACATTGATTTTTTTTTTCATAAAGTAGAGATACCTCTAATATCTTTTTCTTTTAATATTTATTATTATTTTTAATTTGAATTAACCTAAATCTAAAGTTGAAATAATCTAGTTGAAATGATAACTTTATTTAAGTTCATCCATTCCATCCATTTACCATCTTTACATTCATATTATCATTAGGTAATTAAGTCTTGACCTTAATATTTTTTGGGTAAAGTACACAAATGGTCCCTGACTATAAGATATTATTTTATTGAGTTCCTTATTTTTTAAGTTATAAAATGGTCTATCAATTATAGGAAATTGCTTTGTTGAGTCTATATATTATTAAAAGTTACAAAAGAGTCACTCGACTATTTATTATATTTCTAACTCATCCTTTTCCATTAAACAATTAGCGGTCATCTAAACTAGACGTTAACATGTTGGCTGAAATATTAAACAATTAACGGTCATCTGAACTGGACCATTTTATAGCTATTAGTAGTCAAGGGACTTAATAAAACAATATCATATAACCAGGTGACCATTTATATACATTATCCTATTTCTTTTTTTTAATTTACTAACTTTCTAGGGCTGAACTAGTGGAAAACAACTAGCCCCCTGGCTTCACTCTGCTTTCACCTCTTGTCATTAACATAAGATCTACCTTTTAACATTTTGGATTGTCATAGTTAACAAGTCAACTATAAGGATGGAATCTTGAATTTAATCAAATAAAAGGACCAAAACCATCATTTGACCAATATTTCAACATTATCCGTCACTGCAACTGCTCTGCTGAAGTTTATCGGCAATTGTATGAACAAAAAGAGTTTAAATTTACTGATTAAATGATTCAGACTTTAAAGCAAATTACAATTCCGACAACATAAAAAAAAACCCCATTAATTCATGACATATTGCATGAATTCAACATCGGATTCAATGGCGGCCATAGTTTCCGGCGCCAAAACCACGTCCAGATCCACGCTGCCGTTGCCTTCCCGCCTCGGAAAAGCCGAGATCTTGCCGTCGAATTTGTTAGCGCCGCCGATCCTGACAGCCAACGGCCGCCCCCACCCGAAATCGTTGTCGTACATCGGGAACCTCGGTGAACTCCCCATCGTCATGCACCCGCCGTCGAAGTTCCCCAAAGGGAAACACCGCGGATCCTCCTCCCAGTTACGGGCAAAAAGGCGCACCGTTTCGTAGTCGTGGGCCCTCACGCGGTCGTTCAACTGCCGCGAGCACCACCGCAGATCACGCGACTTGACGTCACCAGCTGACGCGTACGTCGGGATGCTTTGAATCGAGTTCCCGAAAGCTTCGGGCTCAACCTGTGACGGCAATTCACCGCCATTCTAAACGTCGTCGTTTTGGAAGCCGGCAGCTTCTTCGCACGCGTCACTGCTCGCCAGAGAAGAGCCGAGAGTGACTGGAACGACGAAATCTCTGCCGTTTTCGAAACCGGAGCGGCCGTTTCAGCGTAGTACTTGTCATTACTTTGTTTCCCCAGAATTTCAACGGCGTTGAAGTCGCCATTAACGACACTGTTGTTAACCTTGGCTTTGAGTTCCAAAATTGCTTCTCGGCTGAAACTGAAAATTCTCTCCGATAACGCCTCATTTTCGTTAAACGTAACTTTGGGTCTGCCGTCAGGGACTTGTAAAATTGCCGGCGAAATCAACACCGAGTCTCGCGTAAAATCCGGTTGCCTCGCGATTCTTTCGATGCTTTTGTCACTATCATCACCGATTCTTCTGCAAATTTCAGCGAAACTGTTGAAGAAGTTCCAGAACGACGTACCGTCAGTCACCGCGTGGTTAACCGAACAACCGATGAAGACACCGTCTCCGAGCTCGGTGACTTGAACGCCATGATCGGTTTAAAATGGCCATTGTAACTCACCGTCTTGTCGAAACAGAAGAACCCCTTCACGAACCGCGGAACATGGAGTGGACCAATGACGTCACGGATAAACGAATTCTTGCACATTGCATGGTGGAATTCAACGCCGGCGTCATTGCAGGTGATGTAAATGTAACCTTTTCCGTCGGTTTAAAGACGGCCGGCGAGGGGAGGGAAGAACGACAGCGTCTTGGATAGGGATTGTTTGAGGAGAGAAATGAGTGAATTGGTGGGAATGGAAGGGAGTGAAGAGACAACCTTTCTGGATGTAATGACATGACAACATGGGGAGATCAGAAACTGAAAGCTTGAGATCTTCCGGGCTTGATTTTTGGTCTGGGAAAATCATGGTTTTTGAAACCAAAGTAACAGACATGGCTGAAGAAGAAGAAGAAGTTGGTCTGGGAAAATCATGGTTTTTGAAACCAAAGTAACAGACATGGCTGAAGAAGAAGAAGAAGAAGAAGAAGAAGAAGAAGAAGAAGAAGAAGAAGAAGAAGACATGGTTTTTTCTTTTTTTTGGAGGGGATGCTCTCGTTCTTTACACAAAGTGAAGGGAATGGGAAGAGCATTTGAAAAAAGTGATTGCCTATAATCTTATTTTATTAAATTCAAGTGATGATTCTTTGGCTTTATTATATTTCTCTACTCTCATGTGACAACAATTTTATCTTCTATTCTTTTTCACTATTTTTTTTAAAAGTGTGAGAGACCGTAATTTAATTTAAGATTAAGAAACGATAAAAAAATAGGTATAATCGTAAATATTATAAAGATATAACACTTTTGGTTAGACGCATTTTAAAATATTAAATTTTTTTAATATTTTTGTTTGGAAACCGAAAATGCTACTTTTTCATAACATTTTCGATTGTGTACATTCCTATTCATTCCCATTGAACAAAAAATGTTATGTTTTTTTATCACATTTTTATATTTCATCCATTCCTTAGCCTTAAGTTAGGATGCGACACATAAAAATTACCCCTTCTTTTTGGATAATTTTGCGGTAAGACAATTTAATTTAAGGCTAAGGAATGGCGAGGAATGGAAGCAACCGAAAATGTGATAAAAGCATAATATTTTAAGTTGGGTGCAACCTAATATGTTAGCTCTTTTTCTACATTTTCTGTT